CTCCAGTTTATCTTTCATCTTGTCCTTTTTGTTGTCCCTTACCTCCTCTGCCCCATCGACTTTCTCCTTATTTGTTTTACTAGTCATTTCCTTTTCATCTAGATTTTGTAGAGACTAGCTGTCACAGATCTATGTAGTGGGAGTCTGATTTCAATCTTATAGTAATTGAAAAGGTATTCAAAACCATTAATAATTAATAATTATTATCCTTAGCTGCGATTTTCAATTTATTTTAAGTTTCGTAATAACGAGAAGACGAGAAGAGGAAAGAGGAAAACTACGATAATACCGCGCCGCCAGCACCAACACCATCAACACTTACAACAAAAACAACAGAGACAATAACGGCGATAAATATAGAGAATAAAGACCATTAGATAAGTAATCAAATAAACAATAAAATAAATTATATTTATTATTAAAACCGTTAGCCAATCTTGCAGGAGCGATTTTCTCTGGTAGTTCACTTTCGATATATCTTTTTAACTTCTCTTTTTCTCCTTTCCCTTGAATTCACTAAGGTTATACACATCATTTTAGATATGTTTCCGTTGACATAGATCTACATGTATTTCCCGGTTGAGTGTCCCACGCAGGACTCCAATAATATTCGGAGAACGCAGTACATGTTTCGTTCAATGTCTCAGACAGGCATGACGACAACATGCTCATAAGGGGTGAAAAAACCTTTTTAAAAAAGTTGAACGTAACAAGTTTTCAAATAATAAAATAGCCAGTTGATCGAAAATCAGAACAGTTCAAACTAGATCTACTGAAATAAATTAAATTAAGCAAAGACATTCACCGTAGTACCCTAGGAGTGACATGCTACGTACTACGTAGGCTAATTCATTCGTTAGATGCCTTTGTCATTGTCAGAAATTGTTAAGACAAGGCTCGAAACTGAATCAGTTCATTTACTTGCCAACAGAATGAAATAAGAAATGACCTCAGAATCAGACGAGGAATGAAACGTAATGTAATGAAAGACAAAGGAGAGAGTGCTTGAGGCCTTCGGGGGAGAGCTCTCTATATTAACACGACGGCATAGATCTGTCTCCCATTTAGTGAGAGAAACTCAAACGGTTTTAAAAAGACTGACCTCGCT